AGGATTGATTGGGTGGTGTGAACCGAGTCAGAGTTTGGACTTTTCAGACTTCTGTGTAAAGTGCTCAGTGGGTCTGTTATTTTTCCACCCAGCTGGAATCTTACTTTATGTAAGACCTGGGCAATAAGTGCATGAAGGCTAATGCTAATAGACAGGAACACCAATCTGAGAAGTTCTGCTGGAGTGCCATTGTTGAACTTGAAGTGTTCAGTTTATCTTCTTTTAATATAGTCGTTTCACTTTTCTTGAAGATATCAGTGGTTTGGCAAAACGGCTGTAGTTTGGTCGCACATGCAGATTGACATTCTCTGCTGTACTGGTTAAACTGTTCACCCCTTTGGCGTTGCTCAGCATTGGATATCTCATTCTTGTGTGTATCTGCTCCGACTGAAGTGTTTGTTGTTTTTTACTAATTTTGTATTCCTTTCTAGGAACAAACCATTTCTGTTTCAGGCATTTTATGATTCGTTGTTGTAATTCAGGTCATTTTAGAAGTGCAGGCCATGAACTCCTCAAAACCCGTGATGAGCAGGAAGCAGAAACGACAGGATATGAAGATGAAATTTAAGATAGACACGAATGCGGTTATTTTGTCGGCGGGTCTGGAGCCAGTAACGGAGCCTGACGACGTTCAACTTCACGAGACAACAGGCATTGGCTCAGGGTTGAATATGGGGGATCAGTTCGCAGTCTCTTTGCAGGGCAGAACTGCGATCGAGAGCCAGCAACTTGAAAGCGCGCTGGACATCAAGGTTTGTCACGTTCACAATCAAGTGATTCCTATCATCACGTATATATGTTTAAGGTCGAAAATTTCAGCATCTCTGCGCAGGGAAAAGATTTGTTCATAAACGCAACGCTGACTATCGTGGCTGGAAAGCATTACGGCCTGGTTGGTCCTAACGGGTACTGTAGAATATGATATTTTGTTTTTGCGACTTTCATATGCAGAATGGGGAAAACGACGTTACTGAAGCACATCGCCAATAGAAGACTGGATATTCCTCCAAACATCGATATACTTTATTGTGAGCAAGGTCCGAAAGCAGTGCAGTTCTCTCAACCTGTTATTTCGCTACTTTTGGATTCTCTTAGAAATCGACGTGGACGACACATCCGCTGTAAACGTCCTTCTAAACTCAGATAAGGTCCGCTTGAAGTTACTTCAGGAGGAGAAAGATCTAACGAAAAGGTTGGAACAGGGTGACCTGTCGGTTAGCACCAAGTTAAAAGAAGTGAGTAGCAAACCGGTCGCTTTTCATTTCTTTTTCATTGAGAACTGGACAAAGATGTTTCGATTTAGAGCTACATCAAAAACTAGTAGTGCTAAATCGAATACTTCAGTCAGTCAGTCACTCACTCACTCATTCACTCTGCCACAGACTCACTCACGCACTCAGTCATTTGCTCACTCATTCACTCACTCACTCAGGCAGACAGACAGTCAGTTAGTTAGTCGGTCGGTTTTGATGACCGTTTATCCTTTCGAGATGCGGAGACAGACGTGTTTTGGATTTTGCACTCAATTACTATACTGTATATACATATCTTTTTCAGTCTACATGAATATAGTTAATAAAGACTGTGCAGACTGTCTGTACAGACTTCGACGTTTGCGTAGTCAGTTGAGTAATGCAGGTTATGTTCAAATTTCTGCTACATATGGTTCTAGTTATCGTTGTTGCACATAATGTGTAATTTAGAACTAATTATATTTCGAACTATTTCGAACTGCTTTCTGTAAACGACGAAATTTGGGTATCTATTAATCGTATTTATGTAGACTGAAGCAGATGTTTTCATATAGCAAATACTTTTATTTCAAAAATTCTGAGCATATTTTTGTCCGTGCACTTGTAGCTACATACTTCAGTAAATACTTATTGGTCATAGATGCGTCTAATTAGAGCGACTTGCAGTCTTCTAGTAGAAGTTGCTGTACCGTCTACGAGGGGCATATCCTTTGCTCCATTTGTCAGCAGTACTTGAAATTTATTTATAGACAAATTTTGATCGGATTAGTTTAATGTCCAAAAGCTTTATGTTCAAGATAGTCAAATATGCCAGTAGCAAAAGGGGCGATATTTTATATTTTTTCCGTTCTTGTTGCTATGTGAGGAATTTCTCTTAACGCCTTCTTTTATTCTTGTTTCTTTGTTGTGATCATAACCTTGAATTGTCTGTGCAATCCTTTAGCTGATCTAGTTGGAACGTCCGCTGAATTTCCACTTCCTCAAGGGAAGGAAAGTCTAACTCTACTCTTTTCATTCATATTTCATGCTAGTCTCTTGATCAACATCTGTTTTGTTTCGCTTCCTACAGTCGAAGCTCGCGGTCTAGAGTAAGAACTAATGCTCAGGTATATTCTTGAACAGAGCCTGGGATGCTTTACGGATTCCGGAAAAAAGTAGTCTTTCCTTACGTGTTCTTACCGTTTAACCATCATTACACGTCGAAACCAACGCTGTTGTATGCAGTTCGACAGTTGTTTGTGGTCCATTCTTTAGAACGATTATTTCCGTGCCCTACAGCAGCGCTGACCGGACCGAAACAAGATACAAGCGAATTTTCTGAATATCACGTGACGCAATGGACAGAGTACCCGACGCACCGGAAGCAGGGAAGTGCTGTTTAACTTTAATTGACTACTGTCATCGCTGAAGATTATGGAACCGCGGTAATTAGACTGGTTAATCTTCTCTGGAGTCGAATTTCCACACGGCACATAAGATATTCTGGCTGATCATCCGCCGCCTTCGAGATGGAAAGATGGCCACTCTCGGAGTTCTGAAAGACACGCCCGGGCACTTTTCCAAAAAAGAGTGTATAATTCTGCAATGGCCAGAGTACTCTGAGGAACTCGTTAACCCTAAGCAACCGCAGGAAGACTCGCCTGACGAGCAGCAGGCACCGGATATTAGTCTTTAATTGGATAAAGTCACAGAAGCGGTGTAAGGCTTGAAAAGTGGCAAGACTGCTTGAATCGATGAAATCCGCCCTGAGGTGCTTAATGCTTTAAGCGACAACGCCTGCTGTGTCTAACACATGTCTGTCAGACTGCAATGGCCATGGTAAAGACACGGGCGGACTGGAGAGCTGGAGTAGTAGTGCCATTTTTCAAGAACGCAGACCATTGGAACTGCTAGAGTTATTGGGGCAATATCGTACTGAGTCTCCCGGGAAAAATCTATTCAAATTTGTTGGAAAGAAGGTGCCGCGAAATAGTTGACTTCAAGAAAATCAGTCCGGCTGCATGTCATACTGAGGTATTTCTGACAATATCTTCACCTTTTGCCAGATTATTGAGAAATTCCGGGAGAATGCCTGCAAACATAGAATTGAAGACCAGTTGCTACGAGCCATTCAGACACTATATGTTGATGGAAGGTTGCTGTGTTGTAGTGTTAGCATCACGTAAAGTATTTCCAGCGTTGGCACTGATTTCCAAAGCTGCTTTCTGTCCCCTCTCCTGTTTGTTTTGTATATGGATAGGATAGTCAGGCGCAGCCTGGGTGATGATTTTGTCAGCGTAGATGTGGAAGCAGTAAGTTTGCTATCTGCAGACCACCTTGTATTGTTGACATCTTATAACTGATTTTCAGCGCTCTAGAGAGGTTTTTAGCTTAGCGCTTTCTTGTTCTCTGCAGATAGACGGAAAAGCAGTGGAACAAGTGGAGTAGTTCAGGTACTTAAAGGTCGTGTTTACGTTGATCACTTGGACCGGCCGGTAATCGGCGACGAATCGCGCCTACCGCAACACATCCACCATTGACCACGGTTTCGAACCTTCTCCAAGCCTAGCCTTCCCAGTTTCTGGTACAATATTTCGACCGTCGTTGTTGTGGGCACAGAGGCAGTTGGAATTCCGTCACACGCTCGAGGAGTTAAATTAAATGTTATCTTTTGAGTAAAAATGTTATCTTTTGAGTTCAGCTCTTTCAGAATCTTCTGCTGCGGTTATTCCAGGTATGACAGTCTGTTGGTGATGATCTTAGTGAACATTTTGTAAACTTGTGACGCGAGGCAGCTTGAGCTCTAGTTCTTGAAAGCTTCCTTCTCACCCTTTTTGAAAGAAAAGATTGTTTGTAACTCCTTCTCGCTTGTTGCTATTTTTCCTCTTTCCAGGTAGTAGCTGAACCTCTCCATTAGAGCCCTCTATAGCCGACCACCTTCTCTGATCATTTCAATTGTCAGACCATATCTCCGTGAGGCTCCTTCCTCCATTTGCAATGCAACATAAAGAACTTTCCCTATCAGTCCCGAAGGTGTTGGAATGATGGCGGGGAACGCGTGCCGTTGCCGCAAAGAACTGGGGTGTAAAAAATATTCTTGCAGACAAACTGCTTCATAATTCTGTCAGACTTCTGTCGCCATCCCCTTTTATCAGCGCCGTGATGGTCGGCTGATAAAGCACTCTCTCCTGCATTGCCTGTTACTTCTGTTGTCTTTGGCTGTTTTCTTAAAATTTCGCAGTCGAAGGTCTCTGTGTTCTCCTCTAGTTTCTGTTTGACGAGCTTGAAAAAAAATAGAGTACTCCATCGTGTCGGCCCTATCTCTTGTCCTTCTTCTCGCTTCTTTTGCAAGCTCTTTCTCCTGAGATCTTTCGTTTTGTTCTCTTTGATGTTATTACCACTTGGCTGACTTTACGAAGTGCCGCAGTTTCTCAGCGAATTGCTCATTGTCGTCCCAGTTGTCTTTTAGGCTCGTCTAAAAGTCTAAAATGAGTCCTCTCCTCTTGAGTTTCGCCTAAAAATCGTGTTTTGAGCGTCGCCTCGGCGAATGACCTCGGTCGTTGTCTGCAGTTTGTCATCTGCATTGCCTTTTTCTCGATCTTCTCGATGGTTGATCATCCCCTTACCAGTACGGGGTCACAGCTGGTGCTAAATAATGGCACTGCTGCTGTGTCTGAGATGATACGGCGTTTATCTCTGGCAGTCTCATAGAGTCCGGAACGCTGAAGACGCTGTCTGACACCACTGCTATTTCTCATCCCTGTTGCACATGCACTGCTTATGTGTTAGGTGTTGTTGTTGCTGCTATTGTCACCATCACTGCTTTAGCCTGCTACACTGACGTGCCAGGTCGCTTCTACCTCTCTCGTTCACACGCAATGTTTGTCACCAGGTTCATTCAACCTTTCTTTCACTGTTTGTACCCAAACACTTTAGCGTCAGCTCTGATTGTGTCTCAACAGGTCTTTCTCTGAGCTGCCACTGTCATGTCGTTCTTTCAGGTGGAACTTTACTTGACGTGCTGTAATGGCATCGCGCTGTCTGTCTCTTCAATTCAGGATGTGTAGTTACTCCGCGGCTGATCTGTATCTCTGTCGTCTTCTAGATATCCGACAGCTGTCATCTCTCTAATATGCCTCCAGCTGCCGGAAGACATTAAGCAGGTTCTTATTGCTGGTTTTTTTTCAGTCGGCGTTGATTTTGCAACAGTTTGGGTGCCCTTGGTAATCCTGACGATGAACAAGCCGGTATAGTGTTCGATAGCCTCAGTACTATAAAGGGCAGGTGGCTGTCTTTAATACTTAGGGACATAAATGATTTCTCCTTCAGTTTGAATTTCAACATGTTTCTTCATGCATCACTTTTTAAATGATCACGATTTTTTAGATATGCCGCAAGATTTTCAGTTATGTTACATCTTTATATGAACTGTTAAATTAGATACTTTTTTAAAGTTAATGAAAGCGACCTACCGAGTCCAAGAATTAGTCAGTAATTCTGCGGAGTCAAAATTTTGTCAGAGCAGGAGTACCCCCATTTGAAAGCCCACCCGATTTTGGAGAAGACTTCTGGCAGCAGCGTACCTCTTCCTTTCCATGAGTACTGGAATGACCAGTTTGGCTCTTTCATTCTATATCTTCAGTCTTGGCGATAGTCTGTACGTGTCAGAAACTTCAATTTGCAGACAGTTCATAATAAATTCTATTTGTAAAAGTAAATTCTTCTCTTTCAGGTTAGCGATGAACTGAAATCGATCGGAGCTGATGCAGCTGAACCAAGAGCCCGTAGGATACTAGCCGGTCTTGGCTTCAGTCGTGAAATGCAGCAAAAGCCGTCAAAGAATTTTTCCGGTGGCTGGCGTATGCGCATTTCTCTCGCGAGGGCCTTGTTTCTTGAGCCAACATTGCTTCTTCTTGACGAACCGACTAATCATCTGGATTTAAATGCTGTTATATGGCTTGATAAGTGAGTTTCACCTAATTTTTATGCCTTATGATACCTTTCATAGCTTGGTGTTCGTTAAGTGTGCACGTAAAGCATTGCCATCAACAAAGCATAATGTTGCCCATTTG